GTAGAGCCCCTTCCAGGACGTATGACTTCTTGTCGTGCTTGAGAACTATTCTCAAGTTACGATACCAGTCTAAGAAATTTGTCCCGGTCAATTTATCCTTCTCAAGGATAGATCGCATCGTCAAACTCGGTACACTACCGGTTGACGCCATGTCCTACAAAAGAGACAAAAACATAACGAACAAAACAAATGCAGATTCTATTAATGATCTACTACCAGCTAGTCCATCATCAATCAGTGTCAATCTATCTATGATCCACTACCAGCTAGTCCATCATCAAAACAATGACAACATAGATGTAAAGATAAGCTAAATTCCCATAAAGAAAACTAACCCAACGATAATTTTCGATATGGGACTAAGATCCATATTTCACACAAGAATAAAATTGTTACACCTATTCTTATGCTATTTAGGTAGACATCTAATGTCAATCATATCTAATATGACTCTTAGATCCTTTATGAGACTATGATATCAAATATCATTGCATACTCGTCTCATCTGTACCATTAAGTATCAAGTCAAACTTGACAACTTAACCCAAGATAAACCATATTCAAGCTGCAGGAACCACGATTTCCTACCCTGCCTCACAAAGATAATCCGGCACGCTCAGCTTTGGCATGACCCGTGTTACGGATGGTGCCGGATTATCTTTGTGAGGCAGGGTAGGAAATCGTGGTTCCTGCAGCTTGAATATGGTTTATCTTGGGTTAAGTTGTCAAGTTTGACTTGATACTTAATGGTACAGATGAGACGAGTATGCAATGATATTTGATATCATAGGACGGTCTACGTTGTGCGGACCGTCCGTTCTATCCTCATAGAACGGACGGTCTGCGTGTTGTCGTGGACCGTCCGGTCTGGTTCGGGCGGACCGTCCGTTCTGGACTTTCTGGTCCGTCCGTTCCAGCCCCTTCCGTCTCGGTTTTTCGTCGTTTTCTCTCGTGCATTTGTCCTTGCCTGCGTGTGTGACCCTGTAGGCTCATTCGACATAGCAGTATAGTCCGAAATCTCTATTCCGGATATACAAGTCATAGGCGGTCTCTAGCAAGACACTATGACTACCTATCTCGAATAGAGTTTGTTCGTGAATCATACGAACGCCAGTGATGATTCCGGCTGATGATCCTTTTGTATCGCGATATCATATGTCGAACATAAGGCATGGACAAGCCACCTTATCTGATTCGACTGCTTTCTCGTTAACTGAGTTTGACTGTCTGAAATAGACGACGTTCGTCTATAGTGCGGCCACACATTTCTACAGTCTCGCTCACACGAGGGGCCCAGCGATATCTCTCTCTTTTACGAGAGGTACAAATTCCGTCTTGACTATCTACAATCCAGTACATGATTCGTTTCGTACCTGATACACGCCTTTATAGTCCTCCTGTTACGCAGGACGTTTGACGTAATCAAAGCACGCAACTCCTCATGTTGGATTCCGTAGATATCTCAGGTCTTAGGATCCAATCATGGAACCGTCATATGAGATTCTAGTCATGACTCTAGTCCATGTGACAATCTCATGCGGGTCATTCCAGTATTCCGTTCTCCAACGAATACCTATGATCGTGATCGTATCCAATACCTATGATCATCTATGTGATCATCAATCACACATCATACTAGTCTTATTATGTCGTTATTCCCATAACGACATAAGACTAGGGAGTTTAGTATCATTCATAATGATACATGGATTTCATAACAGATCCAGTATGCAAGAACATGTAATGAATAAAATACTCTCATAAAAACACATAGAAAGTATCAATACATCGAATGTATCTCAATAAAGCTCATAATCAGTACATCATAGAGCACTAAACCAACAACATAAACTTCTTTGGTAAACTTAGCTAGGAGTTTTGCCACGAGTTGTTTGTCTCGATAGGTCTTTCCAAGGACCTCTGCTTCGTTTGTCAGTGCATTCATGTGACACCCGTTTCTCGCTCCCCGTCAACAGGATATGCCACATGGACGAAATCAATAAAATATAATAAATCCAAAAGCACAGGAAATTAAAACATTTACTTCATAAATGCGCAGCGGAATAGTTAATACAACCTTTAATTATCACACGTCCGGTCTTAAAATACAACGCAAAGGAAAAAATATCGTTTTCAAGTTTAGCACAAATCAAACAAATCACAATCACAATCATGCCCGTATGATCACATCATAGGGTTAATCCGTCAAATCCTCGTCAACAAGACAGTACTGACTCAATTCGTCAACCGGTACTGTTTAGATGACGCGCCAGATAATCCCAGAGGTGTGGCACTGACTCAATTCGTCAACCGGTACCAACACTAGTCCTCACCAATATAATCGTACTGACTCAAATCGTCAACCGGCACGATTACATGGTTCCTCGGTACTCACCCACGCAACAGTACTGACTCCATGTCGTCGACCGCTACTGACTGCGTGACTCACTGGTCTAACTGACCGGCATAGTGGTACTGAATCAATTCGTCTACCGGTACCACTATGTGTCCACACACACCTTGCACAGTACTGACTCAATTCGTCAACCGGTACTGGCTCCATATCCACATGTTTCCGCAATAGTACTGACTCAAATCGTCGACCGGTACTATTACAGAACACTCACACACACACCAGTGCTGACTCCAAGTTCGTCAACCGGCACTGGTTCCACATCCACCCGTTCCCATAATAGTACTGACTCCACGCCGTCAACCGGTACTATTACAGAAACACCACACGCACGCACCAGTGCTGACTCCAAGTTCATCAACCGGCACTGGACACGTGTTCCTCCCCATCGCACTAGTACTGACTCCACGCCGTCAACCGGTACTAGGTACGAGGCTCCTCGGGGTAACCCAATCACAAACATGCTTCCATCGTGCTACACCACGACCCCGTCGTAGGCCACACGAGTAAGCTACAAACATAGCACACACCGTGTATATTATCCCCCCACTACAATCACGCATCTCACGGTATTCGGTCCCCAACCGACCTACCAGTCAATGCCATACGATGCTAACCCGATGAGCAAACACACAACGAGTCTCTCGAAAGTTGGATCACACATCTCACTGCGGGTGGTAACTCGAAAATTCTCCGAAGAGTGAGTTCTACACTCCGGACTGGTCGGTTCAGGTTGAAGTTGGCCTTCGGTTCGTCCGTTCTGTCTCGGACAGCTCGAGTGGACCGTTCGGTCCGAAAATCAGTCCGTTCGGACTGAAACCATCAGTCCGTTCGGACTGAGATAGTCAGTCCGTTCGGAATGGGTTTACAGTCCGTTCGGACTGCGTTCTGCAGTTCGTCGTCTTCGCGAAAACAGATTTCTGGTCCGACTTTGATTGCTCATATCTCCCTCATTTCTTATCCGAATTAAGTTCCGTTTATTGCTAAATGTTCATTGAAATGTCCTCTTTCAAATACATTCAACCAATAATTGAAACACTGCAATCACACGATGGGAATTAATTCGCAATACAGGTATGTTGACAGGTTCGCGTTCTGCGTTTTCCAGCGTTTCTTCGATTTTCATTCATTCATATCTCACTCATTTCTCCACCAAATTATGTCCCGTTTTTTTCTATGTATTCATTGCAACTTCCACTGTCTAATCAGGTTTCATAGAATTAACACCATAATGACGATGAAAACGAGCTCACACAGAGGCAACTCGAGCCACTCACCTGTTCTTGGATCAATTTCGGTTTGAATCTGATTTGGTTGAGATTGAGTGATGTTTCTGGGCACCTCCATCTTGAGATCTCTTCCTGGACACTCTAGGGATGTTTCCCAACACTTTCCCAAGCTCCCCTTCTCTCCTCTCTTCTTCTTTCTCTCCCCCCTCTCTCTCTTTTCTCTTTTGCAGCTTCTGGATCCGAAAAAGGCTGAGTGTGAGAGTTGGAGAGGCAATTATGGAGCCTAGGGAGAGAGAGAAGACGGATTATTGACCCTAGGGGCTAGTTAGGATCGCACTTTGTCGGGTTGGGGGCTTTTGAGTGGGTTATGGGTCGCCCATGTGCGAGAAAGTCGCGCACTAAAGTAGTTGCCGACAGTCTGTTTGCGTAGTCCGTTCGGACTGTCTTAAGTAGTCCGTTCGGACTGTCTTAAGTAGTCCGTTCGGACTGCCTTTCTAGTCCGTTCGGACTGACTTTCTTCGTCCCTTCGGACTGACTTCCTAGTTTGTTCGGACTGGCTTCCCGGTTTGTTCGGACTGACTCACATAGTCCGTTTTCGATTGCTCCGTTCTCACTCGTTTCTTAACCAAATCGTGCACCGTTTGTTTCTAAATCTTCATTGGGATGTCCTCTTTCATATCCAAGTGATAGATTATTGAAAACCCATGTTCACAGGACGCAATTTGATTCGCAACTCTTGTACCTCATACAAATTCGCGATCTTGCAATTTCAGCTTCTCCTCAATTTTCGTTCGTCCATATCTCCCTCGTTTCTCAACCAAATCGAGTTCCGTTTATTTCTGAATCTTCATGGAAACATCCTCTTTCAAGAACAAGCAACAAACCATTGAGATATTATGGCTACAAGATGAAAACAAGGGTACATAGAGGTAACTCATATTAGTTCTCTATGTTTTTAGGCTTGTTTTACCTTCCATTTATTCCCGAAATTAATTTAAATAATTCATTCGGGAATCGGGGTATTACAAATCCTTCCCCCTTAAAAAGAATTCGTCCCCGGATTCTGAATCACATGATGTCGTCAATTCATTCGCATTCATTGCACAATACCCAACACCTCCATTACACCAGTGTCATACATCAGATAGGAGTTCCATACAATCCATCTTCATACACAAGAGTTGTACAACATCAAGTGAAAAGATAGTGATAGTTGCTACGCATCTCTTCTTCGGGTTCCCAAGTCATGTCCGAGACCCCTTGGCTTCTCCACAATACCTTCACCAATGACACCTCCTTCGTCCTCAGCTTCTTAACCTTTCGGTCCATTATCTGTAGCGGTTCGTCTCGAAAACATGTAGCATTCGTGAACTCTAACTCTTGAGGTTGTAGCACATGGGAAGGGTCTGCTACGTATCTCCGTAGTATCGACACATGGAATACATGGTGGATGTTGCTCAGCTCTGAAGGCAACCCGAGTCGATTTGCTACTGTGCCTACCTTCCCAATCACTGGATAGGGTCCGATATATCGCGGTTTCAGCTTCCCGCCCTGTCCAAACCTAGCGTGTCCTCGCATGGCCTGAACTCGAAGGAATGCTTGATCTCCAACTTCAAGGGTGAAGTCCCGTCTCCTCCGGTCGGCATATGATTTTTGTCGATCTTGTGCTATTTTCAGGTTGACTCGAATTTTTCGGATCACTTCCATAGTCTCTTCCACAATCTCAGGCCCGAATTCCCGTCTCTCCCCAATCTCTGTTCAACACAAAGGTGTCTTGCACGTCCTCCCATATAATGCCTCATACGGTGGTACTCCAATACTCGCATGGTGACTGTTGTTGTACGCAAACTCGCACAACGTCATGTACTGATCCCACGGGCTCCCCATTCTAATACACATGCGCGAAGCATATCCTCCAAAGTTTGTATCGTCCGTTCCGACTGTCCATCTGCCTGAGGATGGTATGCCGTACTCATCTTCAACTTCGTCCCCAACGCGTCTTGTATTGCCTTCCATAGGCGTGACGTAAATCGAGCATCTCGGTCCGAGATGATCTCACTTGGCACACCATGTAGTATCACAATCTCGTCAATGTAGATCTGTGCCAACCGCTCGATCGGATACTCCTGGCGTATAGGGAGGAAGTGGGCATATTTGGTTAGTCGATCCACGACTACCCAAATAGCGTTCTTCTTCCTCGGTGTAAGTGGTAACCCTACTACAAAAACCATAGCGATTCGAATCCTACTTCCATTACGGTATCTCCAACGGCTGTAATTTTTCCTCCGGGCATCTGTCGTTCTGCTCTCACCTGTTGGCAAGTGAGACCTCTGGCTACATAGTCGGCAACGTCTCTCTTAATCCTTGGCACGTGTGCCATCAGTGTAGTCCATGATACATCTTACTCGCTTTTAGAGGTATCCCTAGCCTCGTTTTATGTACCTTGGCTAAGATAGCCTATTTCAACTCGGGTCATCTAGCACATCCAACTGGTTCTCCAACTGCAGCACTCCATTATCATCAATGTGATAGCTTGTAAGGCCATACTCGTCAACGTCGTCTCACTACCGCATAAGCAATCACGGGTCCTTCTTGATTCAGGGACCAATGTTCCAATTTAGTTCCCAAGTCCGAAACGTTACAATGTGACGATGTCACATCCAATTGGGCGTTAGAATCCATTTTCTAACTTAGCGTGCCCACTATTCTATTGTCTTTTTCTTGAGGACAATTAATACTTGAATTATAGTCGGCGGTGATTTCTCGTAATCCTCGTGGTCTGAAACTCAGGTACTCTGGGAGATTTCGTAGGTCGAGTCCTTATTATCAGTGTCAACCCTTTCTCTAAAAATGTGTGACCCCCAGATCTTCCAACGCTTTATGAAATGTTACGAATTCCATGTCTTATTTCGAATAGTCGTCCTCATGCTTTTCAATTACCTCGATGCATAAGCAATGACATGTCGTCTTGTTTTAATACGCAACTTGGTCTTGTTGGGATGTGTCGATAATAATTCCTTACATTATCCTCGCCATGGTACTGTCAGGGCTAGTGTTAACCTCGAACCTTGTTATAGTCGGCCGAAACTATTTTCGCCTCGGTGATCCATTCAAGCTTACTGTACTTTTTCCTTTTGACTTAGTCTTAGGTCATCTGTTGTGGTTAGTCCTTCCTATGACTCAAGGATAATTGCAAGAGAGTCATAGAATTTTGTTCTTCCATCGTGGAGTTTGGTGGCCTTTACCCAATGATAGCTTCGTCTTTAAAGAGATCCACTTGGAATCCTTGAATCCAAACCGTGTGTCTTGCGCACATGCGATCTTCTCTCCTCCTCCATGGTGTTCCCCGTAGGTGTTCATCCTGGTACCTTGATCTGATGAGAATATCATTTTCCTTTCGACGAGCTTATCAGATAATCCGTTAGAGTACGATTCACCTTCGCATGAATACTATTGTTGCGTTCGTGACTATTCATGACTTTACTTGAACCCAGAATAATCATCTCGAGTCCTGGACACTTTGTCCTTTGTGCACCTTTTGCCTTGGCAGGTGATGTCTTGTCCATGAGTCGACCTTGTAGAATCGTCGAGTTCCTGGTAATTGATCCAGTAATCCATCAATCTTCGATAGTGTATATCGATTCGTGATGGTCCTTCTGTTTGCTTACTGGAAGTGGGTTGATCAGAATCACGTCGTTGTTTTCCCTGATCATTTTCAATCTTTTATGTTAATATGGAAGGGTCCTTTGTCAATGCCACACAGATGGCATGCAATGTCAGGTCCATCTCCCTTTGTTCTAGACTTTCCGCTCGGTAGAGTTGGTGTATATTCCTTGAATTGTTACTCCATGGCCCCTTAATGGCCTCAAGATTAATTCCTTGATTCTGATCCTTGGGTTAGGCGTTCGACTTAATTGCGAAAATTATTATTTTCCAGCTAAGCATATCATGGCGGCATTTCCAATGCGCCATGTTACTTTCACTAAGCCTTTGACGACTGTAGCTCGCATCACTTGTACGGTTTTCATAAACGATTTTTCATTGGACGTGGTTTTGAAAAACATATTTCGTTGAAAAACCTTAAGGTAATGAGTCGTCCTTTCCCGTGGAAGGAACGTTGCTCTGATACCAAAAGTTGTGACACCCGTTTCCCGCTCCCCGTCAACAGGATATGCCACATGGACAAAACCAATAAAATATAATAAATCCAAAAGCACGGGAAATTAAAACATTTACTTCATAAATGCGCAGCGGAATAGTTAATACAACCTTTAATTATCACACGTCCGGTTTTAAAATACAACGCAAAGGAAAAAACATCGTTTTCAAGTTTAACACAAATCAAGTCCGTACGTGATGTTGCCTCCTCTTTAGTCGCTATCCAAATATTACTCGTGCTCCTCGTTATCTGAAAAAGTTAGTCAACGAGGGCTAAGCACAACTGCTTAGTGAATGACCCGGGTTGAACCCGGTAAACCCGTTCCCAGCGAGAACGGTGTTAAAACGATAATTATAAAACCCAAAATAAACCATCATGCATATCCTCATATCACATCAAACAAATCACAATCACAATCATGTCCGTATGATCACATCATAGGGTTAATCCGTCAAATCCTCGTCAACAAGACAGTACTGACTCAATTCGTCAACCAGTACTGTTTAGATGACGCGCCAGATAATCCCAGAGGTGTGGTACTGACTCAATTCGTCAACCGGTACCAACACTAGTCCTCACCAATATAATCGTGCTGACTCAAATCGTCAACTGGCACGATTACATGGTTCCTCGGTACTCACCCACGCAACAATACTGACTTCATGTCGTCGACCGGTACTAACTGCGTGGCTCACTGGTCTAACTGACCGGCATAGTGGTACTGACTCAATTCGTCTACCGGTACCACTATGTGTCCACACACACCTTGCACAGTACTGACTCAATTCGTCAACCGGTACTGGCTCCATATCCACATGTTTCCACAATAGTACTGACTCAAATCGTCGACCGGTACTATTACAGAAACACTCACACACACACCAATGCTGACTCCAAGTTCGTCAACCGGCACTGGTTCCACATCCCCCCGTTCCCATAATAGTACTGACTCCACGCCGTCAACCGGTACTATTACGGGCACACGCTTTTGTAATAGTACTGACTCCACGCCGTCAACCGGTACTATTACAGAAACACCACACGCACGCACCAGTGCTGACTCCAAGTTCATCAACCGGCACTGGACACGTGTTCCTCCCCATCGTACTAGTACTGACTCCACGCCGTCAACCGGTACTAGGTACGAGGCTCCTCGGGGTAACCCAATCACAAACATGCTTCCATCGTGCTACACCACGACCCCGTCGTAGGCCACACGAGTAAGCTACAAACATAGCACACACCGTGTATATTATCCCCCCACTACAATCACGCATCTCACGGTATTCGGTCCCCAACCGACCTACCAGTCAATGCCATACGATGCTAACCCGATGAGCAAACACACAACGAGTCTCTCGAAAGTTGGATCACACATCTCACTGCGGGTGGTAACTCGAAAATTCTCCGAAGAGTGAGTTCTACACTCCGGACTGGTCGGTTCAGGTTGAAGTTGGCCTTCGGTTCGTCCGTTCTGTCTCGGACAGCTCGAGTGGACCGTTCGGTCCGAAAATCAGTCTGTTCGGACTGGAACCATCAGTCCGTTCGGACTGGAACCATCAGTCCGTTCGGACTGAGATAGTCAGTCCGTTCGGACTGGGTTTACAGTCCGTTCGGATTGCGTTCTGCAGTTCATCGTCTTCGCGAAAACAGATTTCTGGTCCGACTTTGATTGCTCATATCTCCCTCATTTCTTATCCGAATTAAGTTCCGTTTATTGCTAAATGTTCATTGAAATGTCCTCTTTCAAATACATTCAACCAATAATTGAAACACTGCAATTACACGATGGGAATTAATTCGCAATACAGGTATGTTGACAGGTTCGCGTTCTGCGTTTTCCAGCGTTTCTTCGATTTTCATTCATTCATATCTCACTCATTTCTCCACCAAATTATGTCCCGTTTGTTTCTATGTATTCATTGCAACTTCCATAATGACGATGAAAACGAGCTCACACAGAGGCAACTCGAGCCACTCACTTGTTCTTGGATCAGTTTCGGTTTGAATCTGATTTGGTTGAGATTGAGTGATGTTTCTGGGCACCTCCATCTTGAGATCTCTTCCTGGACACTCTAGGGATGTTTCCCAACACTTTCCCAAGCTCCCCTTCTCTCCTCTCTTCTTCTTTCTCTCCCTCTCTCTCTCTTTTCTCTTTTGCAGCTTCTGGATCCGAAAAAGGCTGAGTGTGAGAGTTGGAGAGGCAATTATGGAGCCTAGGGAGAGAGAGAAGACGGATTATTGACCCTAGGGGATAGTTAGGATCGCACTTTGTCGGGTTGGTGGCTTTTGAGTGGGTTATGGGTCGCCCATGTGCGAGAAAGTCGCGCACTAAAGTAGTTGCCGACAGTCTGTTTGCGTAGTCCGTTCGGACTGTCTTAAGTAGTCCGTTCGGACTACCTTTCCAGTCCGTTCGGACTGACTTTCTTAGTCCCTTCGGACTGACTTTCTAGTTTGTTCGGACTGGCTTCCCGGTTTGTTCGGACTGACTCACATAGTCCGTTTTCGATTGCTCCGTTCTCACTCGTTTCTTAACCAAATCGCGCACCGTTTGTTTCTAAATCTTCATTGGGATGTCCTCTTTCATATCCAAGTGATAGATTATTGAAAACCCATGTTCACAGGACGCAATTTGATTCGCAACTCTTGTACCTCATACAAATTCGCGATCTTGCAATTTCAGCTTCTCCTCAATTTTCGTTCGTCCATATCTCCCTCGTTTCTCAACCAAATCGAGTTCCGTTTGTTTCTGAATCTTCATGGAAACATCCTCTTTCAAGAACAAGCAACAAACCATTGAGATATTATGGTTACAAGATGAAAACAAGGGTACATAGAGGTAACTCATATTAGTTCT